CCGCCTTCTAGAAATCTCTATATTCTCGACGTCAGTATAATGCACTCGACATTCGATAGTCTCAACATCAATGACTCATAAACACAACTTCCTATAATCGTCTGCTTTTAGCTCTTATTATAAGAAAACTAAACAATAATAAAATATTCACTCACAAAAATAAATTAGTCAATAATATCTAAACTAAACAGTCTTTTATATTATGACAGATATCGTGAAGCTTTTATAAGATAGTGATGATATATTACAAATCATTTTTTATCACAACATCTGGTTTATCACAAAGGAGTGGAATATCGCAACACCTGCTTTATCACACTACATGGTGTATCACAGTATATTAATCAACCTGTAGTAGTTTAAATATAATAATTTCCCATGTTAATTGGTTAGTTTTAATTTATAGTTATGTATGATTTTCTACTGTGATATTATCGAAATTTACTCGTAAAATCGTAAAACGACCGAAAGGTAGAAGCACAAAACATAATCACTAGAATGGTTTAGACTTTAGATCAATTACAGAGCAATTGGTAAAAGCTGGAGGTAGCTTTTAAAATGTCTTCAGAGAAACGAAATGCATTTTTTCATGTATCTATGGACTATCCGCTTAGTAGCGCAAGTATTTTCCTGGGAACTCGACCCAGGGGACAGTTTTCGACAAAAATGTGCTGAAAATACTTGCGCTCCTACGCGTAGAATTCGAGGATACATGAAAGAGGCATTTCGTTTGTCTGAAGATATTAAAAGGTACCTCCGACTTTTACTCACACCCAATTACAGAATTGAAGAAAAAACACAAAGATAATTGTACGTTTGACAAAAATTTCATTTATTCACGACTTTGGTTTGCTAGTAAAGGCATCACCAGGTACTTTAGATCAATATTACAACTTTATTATTTTTTGTAATGATATTAGATTTATAATAGTCTTTCATAGTAAATGACAAATAATTTACATCCATTTTAGCATTTTCTGCTTTAGAACTTTTTATTATTTGATTACGATTCATAATCTGTAGATAAGTAGTTACACTATTTATGTTTGATACATTCATCCCTGATGTGTTTTATTTATAACACTTAACGGGGTATACAAACGAAGTTTAATTTGTGTTATGCAGTTTAAATACATTAGTTTAAGATAAATAATCTAATGTAAACAGGCGTTCTGCGTTTTATTTCTTAGTCTGCATTATTTGACTTTAAGTATTAGTAAGTTATTTTGTCATTTTTGCAAATTCTAATAGCATGTTTAATATTATTATTATTGTACAACTTATTGTGATTAGGCTTATCGGAAAAGACGAACAAATATCATTTAGGCTTGGTTCCCGAGGCCTAATTAATAGTCTTCTTTATCCGAAACGTTCTTTTGTTTACTGCTGAGGAGTTGAAGTCTGTAACAAAGTGTCCTGTGGAACGTGTTGTTGAACTGTAGATAAATACTGGGATAATTTCTTTTGTTTGGTTTGAGATGTTTTCTTTTATTCGAACCGGTAGGTGGCGTAACATGGAACCATAAAACCTTTTTAATAGCACTTGTTAAAACTTTTTCTTTAAACTTAGCTAGCAAGATTAGGAACGAGATTTTGAAAGGTTTGAAGTCGGGCAGAAAAGAAGAATTAAACGCATAAATTTGTGTGCCTCAAATAAAATCGTGCGAATCTGCCGCTGTAGATATATTCTAGCGATTTTTAAAGAAAAGATATTAAACAAGTTTATTACATCAGGTAGTTGAGAAGAAATGAAACGGAAATTTAGAAATCAAAAGTATAAGTATTGAATAGTATGAAACATAGTAAAAAAAAATCGAATTGTTTTGAAATTAATATACAAACACAAATTACGACCCATCTTCTATAATTCCGTCAAACTCAGTGAGATATTAACTTTTTGGCGAGAAAATACTTTCTTAATTTAAATCCATGATAGTGAACTTATATTTGAATTTACTTTTTATGTCAAATATATTATCTCTCGCCTTTCCTCATTTTGAACTACTGATCAAAAGGTAAACAGACAGTCAGCAGCACCCACTCCTCACGCTGATTGACTATCACTCTTATAACGCACACACACAGCTTTAAAGTGCAGGGAATATTTTGGGGTATTAAAAAACTCGATTCGGTAGATATCAAATTCAGAGTTCTATCAAACTCGCGCCCCATGTTGGTTTAGTTTCTAGAGCTGTACATTTAAATCGTTCGAAACTCAGATAATGCAATTACAAAATGCTACATATTTTCGAGTTTGATAATTCACAGACACCTGATGTTCATCAAGTGCAGATCAAAATATTTCTGCTGATAACACAACTATCCCTCCGTATATGGTAGAATTATCTTCAATCAGTGTTGTATCAAATCTGCCAGTTACGCTTGCGCCATCTATTTTGGTTGTCACATAAAGAATATAATGTTTTATAACAGAGAATAATCAATAAAGTGATCTATCTTTCAGTAATACTCATCCAATATCTGGTAAAATATTTTTAAAAACTCGCATTACAATACAGAAAAACATGTTAGCACGTATATTGTGAGCAGGTTATGACTTTTATTGTCAGCACAGGAAACAGGACTTGTTGCCCATTACAGGAAGACAGGTTCGTACATTTATTGACTCTGAGGAGCAGATGAGTTATATAAGGTTAGGTACTTCACCCATCATGAGGTATACAACAGCAGGTGTTTTATGTAAGGTACTTCACCCATCATGAGGTATACAACAGCAGGTGTTTTATGTAAGGTACTTCACCCACACACGAGGTATACAACAGCAGGTGTTTTATGTAAGGTACTTCACCCACACACGAGGTATAAAACAGCAGGTGTTTTATGTAAGGTACTTCACCCATCATGAGGTATACAACAGCAGATGAGTTATAAAAGGTTAGGTACTTAACCTATCATAAGATATACAACAGCAGGTGATTTATGTAAGGTACTTCACCCACACACGAGGTATAAAACAGCAGGTGTTTTATGTAAGGTACTTCACCCATCATGAGGTATACAACAGCTGGTGATTTATGTAAGGTACGTCACCCATCATGAGGTATACAACAGCAGGTGTTTTATGT